GCAGTGACCTGCAGCTGCAGTACCATTCCTTTCCTTGGAAACTCAGCAATTCCTTAAATAGAGAGGAAAGGAGATAAGGCAGCTATGTGGTTGAGGGAGAAGAGTCAGAGATGAGGGATTTTTCCCGAGTGGACAAAACGAAAGGTTGGCATACACATAAATGTTCTAATATGCTTTTAAATTTCAGAGCATGCTCTTGGACTACTGCTGTTCTCTGTATTGGCAAAAATGTGTCTGAAGCTGAAACCTTAAAGGATGGTTAGTTTGTGGAGCTGCTATAATTTCAATGTATTAGTGAACATCGCTCCTATTAATATTTAATGAAATACAGTTATCTTGAAATAATTTAAAGAAAAAAAGAGTTGGCAGTTGCTCTACTGCTCTATTTCCATAATGTCCCTCTGCCTTACTTGATTAATATTAGGTGTTCTTTTAGGCTGCTTTGTAACTATTGATTATGTGAAGAGTACACACGTGCATGTATGAACTGGTTTTTTTGTTAGGGGTTGGGGAGAAATCACCTTATGAAATGCAGCATTATCCTGCTTACTGAATACTGTCCTTAAGTTGCTTGGGACTTTATTTAGGATCTAGAAGCAAGGGTTGATGTTCATGGACTAATGCTCTGTTTTCATATACAAATTGTTTAAAGGTTGGAGGGCTTTTTCTTCCTTGTTCCTAGATCATGTACAGTGTTTTGTCTTACTTTAGCTATACCTTATAAAAGTACATATTTTATCTATGATGCACTAGTTTTCCTCCTGAGCACACATTTTCTTAACTTAATACCAGATCTGTTATTGTTTTCCTGTAATCCTTATCATTTTGCTTCTCAGGTGACTGATACGGTTTCATCATTTGACGGTGAAGTGAAAAACTATAAAAAATACTCATTTTTTGTAGTTTGGGGTGTTTCTTGAGCTCATGTGATATACGGGGTCAGGCATATGGCTTCTTGAAAGTGGATCTTTAATTTTAACAGCAGTGGCAGGCCAAAAAGATTGAAATGAAAAACCAGTGCTTTACTTAGTAATTGTTACAGGTTTCCCGCTATCAAGGTAGCTGTCAGGTGAATTCACCCTGCTGCTTATCCTTTTACCTTCACAGATAACTGTTACTGGTGTGATGTTTTTCCAGTTTAGTCTGGCTGTACTAGCCTGAATTATCTACTGACTGACTTAATTCACTTGACTGTGCCTCAGATGGGCAGTCAGGGAGGAGACAGCTGTTTCTAGCCTGTATCCAGACAAAGCTAAAATGCCATAGAAGTGAAAAGCTGTGGGCTAGAAGAGAGTACTGAACCTAAATAAATTTCATGAAACACATTCTTATTTAAACTTTAGGAGGATCCAGTGTAAAACATATATCCCTGCTTTCATAGATTTTAAATTTTTTTTAAACAAAACCACTACTGATGTTTTCTGCTGAAACCAAATGGAAAATTTTATTCTGATATTTTTGGAAATAAAGTTAGCTTTCATAAAATGAATAGTAAATGAGGGATACTGCTTCAGGCTGCAAATATATATTGTAATTGTGCCAGTGTATAGATCTAAGGTGAAAATCCTTATTCGTATAGACTGTAGAACTGATATAAATAGGCCTTCTTGGCCTCAAGGCAAAGATAAGAGACCTGGAAATGAACAGTGAAGATCAGCTTGCTGTCTGATGTTGTGTAGAAATACTAACTCATGTTGTTTTGATGTTAGTGAAAACACTTGTTTAGCTTATACTTTTACTTGCCTCTGAGCTTCCGGTCGGCTTTTCTGCCTATTGCAGAAATGTTTAATTGGATATAACATACATGTATTCAGCTTTTTGTCTGCAAAAGCTTCATGGCAGATACCTGTATGTCATAAGAATGTTGTATTTACTATGGATGTTGTTGCTGGACTGAGTTTAGAGGTTATTGCTCCTGCACTTCAACAGTTAAAAGAAGTCGCTGGTGCTTTGAGACTGTCACTGTCTTGGAAATCTTGGTGCCATGCATAGCCGTGAAGCTTGAAGCCAATTGGAATTATCAGAGGATGAAGAAATTTAGGGAAATACGAGGTCTGTGAGGTGAACTTCTCAGAGATGTTTCTTTTGAAGGACTGATAGCTGCTTGAGGATTAGGGTGACTAAAATATGTTTTGATTACTTCTAATTTGTGAGCCTTCTGCTTTATATGTAATACAAAGTAGCTTTCAGAAAGGTGACACTGGCTTCTTACTTTTCTCCATCATGTTATCATCTCAGGTCTTGCTTTCAGTTCTGTCTTTATGCTGAATTAAAAAGTAGTAAACAGTATGGTAACAGGTAGTGTCTGCTGTTTTACTGATACTAGATACCTTGAACCATATCCAGGAAAACACTTTTATTTCATGCAGTGGATGGTTATTGGAAACACATCTTTAAAAGCTAGATTTGTTGTAATCTTAAATTGAATTTAAAAAGGGAGGCAAAAATTAGTGAAGAAAACAGTGATTCACTTTGAGACATCTTAAGCAATTGAACAGGCTTTTTGGGATCGCTTTGCACCTGCACAAATACACAGTATGTTTTCATTACAGTAGTTATTCAGAGTTACCAAACAGTTGAAGAAGCAGAAAATCTTGTTTTCTTCCAGTCAATGAATAAAATCAAGGCTTGAGGCACAGTGTTAAAGGCTGTGACAGCTAGAATTGGTTCCAGACGACTGCAAATGTTGCTATTTAATTACTTTGAATGAAAAATGTATTTTGAAAAACTTTTCTTATGTACCTTGCATCTTAAATGTAGGTTGTTGTAGTTAACAAATTCCTGATGTTTTTCTGAGTTAATGAAATTGTAGTTGTCATGTAAGGTAGACCCACAAATCAGAAATCAAGCATACTGATGAGACTTTATAACATACTGCACGTCAGAACTGAGTATTGATATGCAGAGCTCTAGAATTGCTGCAATGTATATGCTGCTTACTAAATTAATCGCATTATTTAATGTACTTTGTAAAGCAAAGACACAAATACTGATTTTTGGTTAGTGTCTAAGAAGCTGTTTCTTGCTAACCAAAACTAATGTTAAATTTTAACTTACTGATTGAAGATGTTTTCATATACTTCTGGCATACTTTGGTACACGTTATTGATAAGCAAAGACTCTGTAATTCAAATGGAATAGTTGCTTTTATAATGTTTTGTGTTAATGATTCTGCTCCTTGGGGTTTGGACATGGGTGATACAATTTCTTAGGTTTGTTTAAAGCTTCATTCACATTTGAACTGAAAAAAAACCAAAGGGGATGTAATTGCTTTAATTGTAGATCTGCTGAAAGCAAATAATTCTCACAGGTGGCGTGACTTTACAGTTCTGGGCACTCACCTACCAATGCTTTGTGGTCTGTCTAGAACTTGTGATGGATGTGGACTTTGTCCTGTGTTTTTCAGCGATGCAAATGTGCCTGTCTGGTGTTTGGGTTATTGTGACCATTTTTAGGTAATTGTTTCCCTGAATGAAAGGGTATGTTTTTTTTTTTTTTTTACTTTGCAGTCAGAGTCTTTCTGTATTCTCAGGTAAAAAAGGCATTTCACCACTGCATTTTGGTGATTCAGGGTTTTGGTAACCCACTACTTAATTGCTTCCCTACAGGAATTTAGACAAACTGCTTTATTTTGCACAGTGGCTATCTTTTTGTTGTAAGAATAATCACAAAGATACTTCTCATTGTCTCTGTTAAAAATTACTTCTCGCATGCATTGTTTTTTAGCTCACTGTAGAGGCAAAAGGCAGCAGGAAAGTCTTGTGTGGGAATGAGATTGACAGATTGGTAGATGTTTGCTAGTTCTGTCCAAATCATCTGTTGAATGTAGATTTTTGTGGATCACAGCTTCCCATTGATTTATTTAAATAAAGCTTGAACCATGTGGCTTAGTTAAATTTTCAAAAAAGAGACACCCAAATGAGTGCGTAATGTGTTCAGCACAGATCTATTAGCAAGGATTAACCATGTAAGTTTCCCTAGAATCTGGTTTATCATCAAAAGGTAGGAAAGTGATGTAGTTAATGATATTAGCAGTGTTAAATCACTGCATGCAAAAGCCAATTCAAGCAGTAAAGCCTTCCAGTGGAAGAGATACTTACCTTGTGTTTTTTCTGTGATCCAATGTTTGGCTTAAGAAAAATATTCTTAACAGGTTTGTTGTGTCTACTTCCAAGAGCACCTACAAAATTAAGGGATTTAAGAGGAGTAACTGTCTAGGAAATACATTTTATACTTCTGAGTTCTTCTGTTGAAAGAAAAATGAAACTGACCTAGCAGTAGGAAAGAAACTGAGAAATATGAGGTTGCATGTTTGCATCGGTTCTTGTTGTTACTATTGGATCTTATTTTGTGCTTTTCCTGTAGCTTTTGCCACTTATTTTATATAATAAAGCTCCCATGTTTACTGTACAGAATGTGGAACTTATATAGGGTGAGACTTGTTCAAGGACAGATAGATAATTGTTTTACAGGTAAACTGATTAGATACTCTTAGAGTAGTAATTCAGAGTAATTGCTGAAATGGGCTTCTTGAGGGAAGGATAGCAGTGATTTTTTTAGTGAGAGCAATCCTTGTAGATAAAGAAGATCCGTAGGAGAGCATGTCTGAGTTAATTACCAAGTAAGCCAGAAGCCTGAGGTGACATAGATGGGAAAAGAAGGTGGTCTCCCTAATTAGCAAGGATGACAGTGTTTTGGGATGTGCTTGCTTTGTTTGCAATAGTGAAAAAATGTAATCATGCTGCAAGACTTCTGAGGGTTAGGTTTATGGTTCTTCTTACAAATCCCATTCATCTTCTAAGGATTGAGTTAGGGGAGACATTGGAGTACAGCAGAAGAGAATGATGTGCCATCTGGTTTCCAGCCTCTCCAGAGATAATGAGGATATGTGGAATGCTAACGTCTTGACTTGTATTTCTGGATGGTAGTTGAGATGAGGAAATTAATGTCTTTGCCGAGCAATTGAAAACCCTGACTAAATACTTCCTTCTTCCTTGCAGTTGGTAAGCATGAGTTAACTGGGCATAAAGTTGCAGTGAAGATACTGAATCGACAGAAGATTCGCAGCCTTGATGTTGTAGGAAAAATCCGCAGGGAGATTCAGAACCTCAAACTCTTCAGGCATCCTCACATAATTAAGCTGTAAGTTTTGCTTGCTATAAATAAATATATTTAAGCAGTAATCTCTTTTGCTGTCACTGGTCTGAAACATGTCTAAAGGACAACACCACAATCAGTATCTTGTCAGGAAAGTAATAAGCTCCCAAGTATGCAACCTTTTCCATTGCCCTTGGTAATGTATTTTCATAAAACTGATCTTCTCTGCAGACTGGAGAGCTTCCATTAGATCTTTGCTTATAGATTCTTTGGAAGAGTGTATAAATGGTAATGACATGATAGATACTTCTCGTAGCATCCATCTCTGTTTTTAACAGCTACTTCTGTTTTCCTTTTTTTTCTGTTTACATTATCTTAGAAACTGAGTTTTTAAGAAGATTGTAAATGTAATTTCTATAGTAAGTTTATTTATTTGAAATATGTTTTAGTGATGTGCAGGTCAGTAATCCATGTTTTTTCAGTGTACATGGAACTCTACAAGTTTTTCTGAATTAAGGATCTGCAGTTTGTTAAATGTGGTTGGTATTTCAGAATTCTTCAGTACTGCTTGTCTAAATGTGATATTTACAGCTGTTAGCTGATTGGTAGTTCATCAGTACATTTCAAAGTTCAATTAAATATGTCCTGAGTAGGCCACTTATGTGCAGTCTGAGGAAATAAATTATAAATGCCATTGTTTTTTTCTGACTTTTATTTCCTATAAAGTTCACCTACACCTCCAGAGTGTGAGTGACTTTCACTGTCATGGTATTAGTGTTAGTTTTTTTTATTGGCAGAGTCTTGTCTTAAGACCCTGCTGCCACTGACAGATGCCATCCCTACACACTCCTGTTAATGTGGAAACAGCTCTGACACTGAAGTGAAACTGGATTTTGTAAGATCAACTCACTGACTTCTTCAGTGGCTAGGTTTTCAGAAGGCTGTTGAGGTAATTTGGTTGAAAATTGCTCATGCTGCCAGTTAAGAGTTCATGAATGAGTCCAAAGGACATACCTGTAGCCAGAACAAAATGGGAAATGTCAGTGTAGCAGCTGAGATACAGGGATGGAACAGGAATGCATTCTTCTGGTGCTGCTAAATTGTTAAGTCCTGTTGGCAGGTTTCAGATGACAGTTTCTTTCTCAGGGAATTATGAGAAGTTTTTTTCCTGCATGTGGGGAGAAGGGACTAGATATAGAAAATGAAGGAAAAATAAATTGATCCTGAGCTTTTCAGTTGGTCAGTATGCATTTCTAAAGCAGAAGGATTATTAGCTTCTGTGTAAATAGCATTTGAGATATAATTTACAATGTTCCGCAGGTAGACTTGCTGGTAACTTAGGGTCATGCTGCTCATGCTATTAGGAACTGTATTGGGGAACTACTAGATAGCAGCTCAAGATATTTGGGGTAAAAGTGAACAGGTTTTTTCAGATTAACTTTACAAATCTACAGAGTGTTGTTGATTAAGTGCACGAGGTACTTTCAGCCAAGGTGTTTGAGAGAAAACTGGTAAAGATAAAGATCTTGGTGGACTAGGAGATGTTAGGTAAAACTAACTTTGAAGATCTTATGTTAGTGACTGCCACAGAAGAGTTTTGAGGCTATTCAAGTGTTACATGTTAATATTAAGCTGTTAAAATAGATGCATACACATAATGTGCACACATTCATTCACCTGGATAGTATGAGCTCACTGCTGTTTATGTAGTTCAAGAATAACTTGTCTCAGTAAGGTCAAGCACGTCTCGTTCCCTCTTTGTCTTGGAATTGGCATTTTGAAGAATGTTGCAGTTCTGTAGTGTGTGTGAATTCAGTTATAGATTAGAATTCAGATATTCGCAAGCTTAAGTGTAGTACCTTGAAACACTAATTTTCATCGAATTACTACCTCCTGTCTCCTCAATATAATATCTGAATTTTTCATTCACTTTCTTGTTCCATTAAAAATTGATCACTTCTGACTGCTGTAAGGGAAAAAAAATGAACAACCTTTTAGGTAAGGTTACATAGAACAAAATCAGAATTTCTTAAATGAGGAGTTTGGCCATAAACTCCGAAACTTTGAAGTTTGTGGTTTTTTCTAAACTTAATTGAAGTATAATGATGAAAATATAATAACCAGAACATCTATTTAAACTATCATCTATTTATGATAAGTTTTTTGCATGTTACGCTTGAAAAGTGTTTGTTTTGAGATGCTAGTAATGTCCTTTTGAATTCCTTCCTCACTGCACCAAGCTATCTGCAAGACAGCACTGTAAATAGTTTCATAGAAATAATTTGGACTAAAGGTAGCCCTCTTAAAGTACAAAGACTGATATTCCTGGTGAGGAATACAAATTTCCTGCTAGTCTTGGCAATGACAGTATCACATAGTGTAAAGAGAGGAAGTGGCTTCTGAGAAATGTTATCATTCCAGAAGCTGTAAATTGACTGATAAAAGTATACTTCAGAATATTTTTTAACTGACTCTTTGTACAACTTTGGTTTTAACTAAATGTTACTAGCATCTTTTACTGAGTGCTTAGACTAACATACCTTCTCTTATCAGGTACCAGGTCATCAGTACACCAACTGACATTTTCATGGTGATGGAGTATGTTTCAGGAGGAGAACTGTTTGATTATATCTGTAAAAATGGAAGGGTAAGAAGTACTTCAACTCTAGAAATTGATGATTTGCATTCTGCTATTGCTTTTGCAACATTTCTGTATAACCTGACACTGAGAGGACAGACGCCCTTTTTGGGAATCCTTGGCAGAATGATTTTAATTAAAGCTTTATATTCTTAACAGAATATCATGATTAGTGCAGCACAGAGTTTGATTAGAGTAGCACAGGATTTCTACAAGCATAATCAGTGTAGTACAATCTATAACTACTGTAATACAGAATTTATAATACAACTTCAGAATTTCTCATCACCTAGACCCTCTCCAGATTGGTTCAAACAAATGTCAATACATTTGTATCAGCATGGCAATCACATTCAACTCGAAAATCATACGAAAGAATACGAGTCACTCAGTCCTCAGAGGAAGGAGAGGACAGTGAAGGCGTCCCTGGCCATGCAGGGTCATGGGTCTCACTGTCCAGCAGTGGTTCTTGTCCAGGTTTTGCACTTAGGACTTGTAACTGTGATTTTATGGACAGTGCTGCGTGTGCTGTTACACTTCCCTGTTCTGTGATGGGGTCATTGCTAGCAGAGCACTTTCAAGGCTGATGAGGAAGGGAGTAATCAGCCTGAGGCCAAGGAATTCTGCAGCTGGGAGGGAGGGGAAGAAGAAATCTGTTAGAGTTTGTCTGCTTGGTTCACAAGACCTTCAGGGTGGGTGAGTGAAAGGCCACAAATACGTGACTTGCTCAGTCACAGAATGGCTGCTTGCCTCATAAAATGGATTTAATCATGCTAACGACCTTACCAGGGGACAGGAGCAGGGGGTACTGGTCACACCCTGTTAAATGAAGGTTTATTTTTATGTATTCAGCATTAATTTTGCTGTTAACAATTAAAATATGCTTTATATCTACATCTTGTTCTGAAAGTAAAAATGGTTATAAGTTAACACTTTTCAGATCTTTATGTATGACTTTGTCATAGCATTTTTCCTGATATCGGTATACACAATTACTGTGTACAGACTGTAAGTGATAACCATAGGTCATGGGAAAATTTCCTTTAATTCATATAAACAAAAAATTACCTTCTGCTGTCTCGTAATTGTTTAAAACCTTTTTCTGTCTTAGCTTGATGAGAAGGAAAGCAGACGTCTGTTCCAGCAAATCCTTTCTGGCGTGGATTACTGTCATAGACACATGGTAGTACATAGAGATCTGAAACCTGAAAATGTGCTGCTTGATGCACACATGAATGCCAAGATAGCAGACTTTGGTAAGTGGTGCTGTTTTATATTGTGATTGCATTTCTGGGTGTTATTTAGATCCTGTTGATTACTATGGGAAATATTTAATAAAATGTGTATACTTTAATATTGTGCTAGTGGGACACAATACAATAATGTGAAGAGTATGAATGTATAGCAGAATTATGTTCTTGCACGTTCTTTTCTTGTGTGACCTGGTCTAGGTGATCCTGCTCTGGCAGGGGTTGGACTGGATGATCTTTCGAGGTCCCTTCCAACTCCTATTATTCTGTGATTCTTTGTGTAGAACTTGTTTTCCTCTCAAGCTTCCTTTTCAGGTATTTTCTGTCACTGGGTGAAAGTGAACTGTTTTGTTTGGTTTTGCTTAACAATATTTTCTCTGATACCCTAAACAGACTTAGTTCCTCAACTTTCCCCTTCCAAATGAACTTGTGTTGCCTCTTTCACCATATCTAAAATGTAGATGCTTAGCTCTCTTGGAAGTACAGTGCAAGTGCAGTTAATAATGTTTAAGAACCACATTGCTATAGTAAAATACATTAGTCGTCCTATTAAACTTGTCTAAATTAACTTTAAAAACTCTGAAAATTTTATTGAAAAAAATGTAATTAAAGTATTAAAAGAGGAAGAGGTAATCTTGCAAACTTATGTATTTTTTGCTATTTACTAGCCTAACTAATCAGAAAGCTTAGTTATTTGTAATAGCTGTTTGTGACACAGCTGCTGAGAGGACTGGCAGCCAGTTCCTGCAACTGTCTGAGCTAGGAAACCTCAGCATATAAGCATACTAAGGTATCCACACTGCTGGTATTCATATCATAAATACCTCTTGTAGAGATAGTGAATAATACCTGCACTTGTAAAGTATTTGTAGGTCTCTGATGAAAGGTTCTAGGTAATGCTGAGTATCCTAAGTGCGTTTTAAAAGTACGGTGTTCAGGTATGTGGGCACTGGGGATCGTATTGATTTTTTGTATGTAGAAAACACTTTGGGTGAAATGGCTTACCTGATGAAAAAATGAAGTACAGCAACTTACAAAAATTTTCTTCCTGTAACTTAAGTATCAGCAAAGTTGTAGCACTCAGTTAATTGTGACTATTGTCTTAAACAAAAGCTTAATAAAAGCTTTTGTGTAATTAGAACATGAGCTATTTGGGCTGTACTCTTTCATCTCTGCCCTTGCCCTCCCTCTAAAGGCCCTTCTCAGTGACTGAGTTCTCTGATTTATGGTTGTCTTGATTGTGCAACCTGCACTGAGAAAACTAAAGGTAATTTCCACAGCTATTCTAGAAGTAGTAGTTCTTTACTGATAATAGACTATGCTGAGGGCTGATGAATCAAGATAGCTTAGTTCTGAAATACATATTAATTAGTAACAGAATATCTATAATCAGACTACTGAACTGAAGTGATTTAGGAACCAGCTGAGCAGCGTAGGTGTCTAAATTGTAGTGAAGTCGTGTGTACTCCTCAGTTTCCGTATTCTGTATAACTTCTTACAGAATTTTAGGCAATTCTGTGGTAGCATCTTCGACCTTGGCAGTTAGAAGCAGATGTGGTTTTTGAGACTTTCTTGTTAATGACTGAAATCCTATCTTGCTATGCTGCTCCCTCTCCCTTAGAGCAACTGTGTTCTGTGTCATCCACATTGGACTTTTTTTGGCTTGGAATGAATATGTTCTCAAATATTTCTAGGTTGTGTGTGACAGTGGATTTATGTTACTCAAATTTCTGGTAAACTCAATGGAGCATTATGTGGCATGCTTATATAAAAATCTCAGTAATTCTAAACATGTTAGTTCTTTACTAATATAATTTTGTTGATTTTTCTAATCTGAATTACTAGTGATCTGTGTGGTATATGCAGTGTTAAATCATTTTGCTCTCTGAATTTTTAGTAGTTACTCTTATACACTTCCAGGTCTATCAAATATGATGTCAGATGGAGAATTTTTAAGAACAAGCTGTGGTTCCCCTAACTATGCTGCTCCAGAAGTAATTTCAGGAAGGTAGTTTCTTTTATATTGGATACATGAGTGCATGTACTTCAGTCATTTTGCTGCTTGATGCTAAAGGCTACAAAACTACTCTGACAAGCTCAGTCAAAGGGACTCAATGATTGTCAAATCTGCTGCTTTCACCTGTCCACTTTAATACTGCCTCATGCTGATTGGATGCCAATGTCTCCTTTATTTGGGCAGAATACATGACAAGTTCTGCTATATGGAATTGGTGTAAGCTTTTCAGCCTCCCAGATTTGGGGAAAGATGGCTTTTCACAGATTCTGCTAAAACAATGATAATATATAACATGGGCTTTCTTAATAGTAGATACAAATTTCTTTTGGTTTGCCATTGTCTTAACTTGCATTTGTGGATTATTGTTACACAATAGAGAGGAAAAATACGTACTTGTGCTCTGGTATATATTTGAAGGGAAAGGACACTAAAGTTCAAGGGAGGCGTAGCATAGAACTGAAGTGTACAGTACTTGCAGATTAGTTGTCTCAGTTTCCTAGACTTTGAATTACTGTGATACAGTGTAAGAAAGCAGAGAAAAAAAATTATTTAAATGTATTAAACAAAAATCACTAATAGTTAACTTTTTCCCAGATTATATGCAGGTCCTGAAGTAGATATTTGGAGCAGTGGGGTTATTCTCTATGCTTTGTTGTGTGGAACACTTCCATTTGATGATGATCACGTGCCGACACTTTTTAAGAAGATATGTGATGGTATATTTTATACCCCTCAGTACCTGAATCCATCTGTAATTAGTCTGTTGAAGCACATGTTGCAAGTGGATCCAATGAAGAGAGCAACAATCAGAGACATTAGGTAAAACACTAACATGTCTGATCACAGGATGCTGGAATCATAACCACTGTGCAAATATGCAGAACAAAGAAACGATTCATACAGCTTGTCCGTGTGTTATACACTGTGATGAAAAATTCAACTTCTGGTAGTTTGGCTTTAGCTTTGATGTTTCTGATCTCCAGTGACCAATGGAGTATCCATTGGAGGTCACAGTGAAACAAAATACATACATTAAATATAAAAATTCTGAGAAACTCTTAAGACTGTTACAGCAAAGCTGTTAGTCAGTGACTTAAGTCTTGAAGAAAGGCTGTTCTGAATGAAAAAATGATAGGCAACTTGTTTGAGGTGGGGACCATGTTCCAAAATCTGTGTCCAAACATCTACTGAGAAAACTATTCAGCATCAACATTTCTTAGTTTTGCTGTTTATTATGTGTGTATGTGTGAAGGGACAACTCAGGTGGGTAGCATAAGAATTTAAATTGAAAATATATTAACATTTAACATAGTGGCAGTAGAAAATGTACCATTTATGTGAAAAGCTGGTGGTTGAGCTATACAAAGCTATTTCTGCAGCTCAGGTAGTTGAAACACTTAGAGAAAAGAGGATATAGCAAAATGTCTAGCAAAATCTTGTAAAGGAGGGGATTACTTTCCTTTATACGCTGCTTCATTATGCTGCATAGAAGGAGACTTCTTAGTGTACAGACTGAAATTAATTTTATTTTTTAGAAGAATTTTAATATTAAAAAGGTTTGCTTTACATACATGTACTCAGACTTCATGTACTTTTAAATCTAGGGAACATGAATGGTTTAAGCAGGACCTTCCCAAATACTTGTTTCCCGAAGACCCATCATACAGCTCCACCATGATTGATGATGAAGCCTTAAAAGAAGTGTGTGAGAAGTTTGAGTGCACTGAAGAGGAAGTGCTAAGTTGTCTGTACAGCCGCAATCATCAGGACCCTTTAGCAGTTGCTTATCACCTCATTATTGATAATAGAAGAATAATGAATGAGGCCAAAGACTTCTACTTGGCTACAAGCCCACCGGATTCTTTTCTTGATGATCACCATCTGTCTCGCCCTCATCCGGAAAGAATCCTCATCCTGAAAGAGTGCCATTCTTAGTAGCGGGGGCCCCCCCCCCCCGCCATACTCTTGATGAGCTGAATCCACAGAAGTCAAAACACCAGGGTGTAAGAAGAGCCAAGTGGCACTTGGGAATACGGAGTCAGAGTCGACCAAATGATATCATGGCTGAAGTTTGTCGAGCAATTAAACAACTGGATTATGAATGGAAGGTAAAAGAATAAAGGATCTTTATAGCGCACAGTGGTAAATTTTTGTTTGAGCTGTATAGTTACATAGGTTAGAAGTTGGAAACTAGATTCTCCTGTGCTGGAAAATAAGATTGTTTTAAGAGGCTATTCTTGGTGACAAGAAAAAAAAGCTTTGCTGACTTGTCTTAACTTTCCTGTTGGGGCTGTGTTTTTCGGTTGGCTTAAAAAAAAAAAATTAAACCCAAAACTCCAGTGAGTAAGTTACTTCATACCAGTGAGTTGAAATTACAAAAAAACCACACAGAGCTTCTGAAGCAGTTATGGAAACTAACTCGGATCTCCTTTGTACTAGGTTGTAAATCCGTATTATCTTCGTGTTCGAAGGAAGAATCCAGTAACAAGTGCATATTCTAAAATGAGTCTGCAGTTGTATCAGGTGGACAGCAGAACATACTTACTGGACTTCCGTAGCATTGATGGTATGGAAAGACTTGTTTGCATTTAGAATTATTTCCTGTACATGTCTTAATTTACTTGTTTGGAAGTGAAGTGCATATTGTCTTTTGTTAGTTTAATATCTGGATTGAAGATTAGTGAAGAATGAAGATTAGTGTTTCTTTATTCCTTCCTGGTCTAGTGTTCTTGTGATCAGATGGTTAGCTGCTTCATCCCTTAAATAATAGCTTTTTAGCTGTATCTACTTCTGAAATGCTCCTGTTTGTGTCTCCACCAGCACCAATACCACTAGTGCAAAAAGGGGACAGGGCTGTGAGAGATGAGGTGTGGATCAACCTCAACTGCCTTTTGAGCCTCATTCCCAAATTTAAACATGTTTTCAAATCTAAATTAAAATGTGTGAATAACATTTCCTAATTAAGATAAAGCTTGGCACCTGGGCATTTGAACTTTGACTTGGACTGTACATGGCTGTACTGGGTCTGGCTGAGATGAAGTTAATTTTTTTTCACAGCAGCCTATATAGTGCTGTGTTTTGGATCTGTGACTGAAACACTGTTGACAGCACACCAGTGCTCTGGCTGTTGCTGAGTAGTACTTCTACAGTATCTAGTCTTTGTTTTTCCCTACTCTGTTGAACCAATGAGTAGGCTAGGAATGAGCAAGAAGCTGGGAGGGGACACAACCTGGAGAGGTGAGCCAGGTTGGCAAAGGGATATTCCATGCTGTATAAAGTTATGCCTGAGAGACTGGGGGGATGGGAGTTTGGGGAAGGCAGCCCTGAGACTGGCTGAGCATCAGTCTGCTTTGGAGAGGTGTTGAGTAGTTGCCTTTGCCTTTTTTTCTTTTTCTTTTTTTCTTTTCTTCCTTCCTCATATTAAACTGTTTGTTTCTACCCATACATTTCCTCACTTTCCTTTTCCAATTCTCTTCCTTGTTGTGCTGAGTCAACCCCACCAGTGCTAGTAGTAGACAAAATTTGAGTTAGGAATTGTATGCTTGCAGAAACTGAAGTCTTGAAAGCAGTCCATCTAACCTGTAGAAAGATCTGTTTTATAGAGGAACAATAACATAGCATACAGATCAGATCCCAGCTGGACACCTTCCTGAAAAAGAACCAACGAGCTAATAGAGACTGGCCATAATGCTTGTTTGTAAGCAAAGCAAACAAAAGCAAACCTATCCACAGCCAATGGTGTAGAGGGCATCCCTAGAGGAAAATATGTGGCATGGAACAAGGATTTACTGTAGTGTGGCTGGATTACAGTGCAGGGTGGCTAAGGCTGTGTCTCATGACAGTTTAATCTGGTCTGACTCAGCAGTGCACTTCTGGCTGTGTTCCTTCCGGCAACACAGGTGCTTGCTCAACTGAAATGGTACTTGGTACAGGGACTAATCACTTTCCTGTACTGACCTGCTGCAGTGTAGGACAAATGCCCTTCCTGTTGGAGCAGAGATGACTGCTTAGAGTCATGGAGCCTGGGAAGGGCAGCCTGCTGCAGTCCTGGTTTAAACTCTGGAGGAAATACAACCCAAGAGCATGGATTTGCCTTCTCTCTTTCAATAGTGAAGCTGATTTGACTTTCTCTCTGCTACAGCTGGCTGGTCTCTATTCCTCTTACCAAACTGTAGTTTAAAGTAGTTTTGATGTAAAAAGGCAGTCTCTCCTGTGCTTGCAAGTTTCTCCTGGCAATAATTTGTCTGGTGCCAGGTGCGAGTCAAACTAATGTTCAGTATTTTAAAGTAAAAATAGAGATACTCCAGCAGAACATTACCTTCAGTATGAGGAGGAAATATTTCCATCTTAGAAGTAAACTTGAACCACTGCAGCCCAAAGGTACAACATATGAAGGGGGAAAACTGAAAAGTGAAGGATAAATTTATGTAGATGCTAGCAATTAATGTATTAATTATAATAAAAACACAATATAAAGAAAACAAAAATAAAGTGAAAATAAAGGAAATGCTAGCAAAAAGCATCTACCACATGTTCAAACTGTTACTGGATTTAACCTTAAGATGCTGTCCTCTTTTTGTTTAAGTAAACTAAGTTTAAACCAAGTAAGTAGAACTATTAGCCACTGAAATAGTTCATTAAAAATTTGGCAAGTGCTAGTCTAAACTAGATCTAAGTGGTTCAGGAGCACAGTTCAGAGCACAGGAATAATTTGCATAAGGACATTTGCTTTTGTGTTACAAGATCTATAAGCTTTTATTTTGTATCAACTATGTACAGTTTGCATAAGCTGTTGAAGTATTAAGATTTAAAAAAAAAGATTGAAAAGGGGAAGATGTTTGCTGTTTCTATAACTGATTTGATACTGATAACTAACTTTCCTCCCCTCGCCTGACAGATGAAATCAATGAAGCAAAGTCTGGTACTGCAACTCCACAGAGATCAGGTTCGGTGAGCAACTATAGATCCTGTCAAAAAGATTCAGATGCTGATGCGCAAGGAAAATCTGCAGATACCTCCCTTACCTCATCAGTGAGCTCTTCGCTTGACTCTTCTACAGCTGACTTAACTCCAAGACCAGGGAGTCATACAATAGAATTTTTTGAGATGTGTGCAAATCTTATTAAAATACTTGCACAATAATTTTGAAGATGGGCTTATTTCTTTTACAGCAATAAGCATGTCTAAATCATAGTCAGATGCTTCCAGTTATAATCAACTTAAATTAACTAAGGCGCTGAAAAAGCTAGCCACAGAATGCAATTTGCACAGAGATTGAAATGATTATGGGCAGTTAATGTATATTATTTTGAAGCTGGGGTGAATTCTGATTGTCTCCTGTCCAACAGTGTAATACAGGTACAGGGAATCACACGTCTTTGGGGCGGTGTTTATAGCATTTTAGATTGAGTGCACATTAGGCTGCATATAACATCTAAGTTAGATGGACCTTCTTTGTTTTCTCATTGATAATGGGTAGATCTGATGCACTGTAAGTAAATGCACACTTACTGATTCAGTGACCTAAGTATGACTTGTTGGTCACCATCTACAGTTGTGCCTCAGTAGGTCAGAACTATCAACATCTTCTAACAGTAATGTGTTAAAACTGCTGTGTTTGTTCCCCCTTATCTGACAGTAAACAGTAAAGAATAGTTTAATGTGTTACAATGTGGCTACTGTTAACAACTGATAAATTTGATTGAATGCATGCAAATCCAACCAGTTGGAAATGCAAATAGGTGCTCTGTAAGGCACTACGGGTGAAATTCTGTGGGCTGTGAGTAGAGCAGTTGTGTCCACAACAACAGTGAGACTCGGCACCCTGTGAGCTGAAACAAAATGTTCCTCTGTGAAGGAGAACTGCCAGCAAGCTCCTGATCTGTACGTACATCTCGCTCACAGGGTGGTCGCACCACAGCAGCTCCCCACTGCTACTGCAGGCTAAGAATCCTTTTCCTTAAAAACGTGCATCTAGTTAAGAGCACAGCCTAAAGGTGCGCAAGCTATTCCAGAATCTGAAATTGACTTTAAAAAAATATATGTTATACTTTGATACAGCTCTTTGTCACATGTTAACTTAGCATATACTATATAGAATTCACTTTGCAGTTGGAACTACATATATAGGTTAGGTTTTCCCAGGCCACCTTTATAGCAAACTTTGCTATTTAATTTGCGAAGTTAAATCGTCCAACTTTTCAGTTGATCATTGAAAACTGATCATGACAACTTGAATGCTAATACTCAAAAAGTTTTCAACAGTAGATTGCAATTACCAATAACATAAATCTTCCTGCATTTACATTTTTTGCAGTGTCAGGAAGACAATTGAACCTTTTATGTTAAAATCACAGCTAGTACTTGCACAAAAACACTGAGTCTTTTGTAAATTGTATGTAATTAGCCACAGTTGCATTTTCTTCTAGCACTAATAGACATAAACAGTAAACTGTAGGTCATAAAATGTTTAGTTTTGCATTCAAGAATGAATGTTCTCTTCAAAGTAACTTTAAGACCTCTTCAGCTTCAAAGGTTGCTCTCCTAGTGAGAGGCTGTAAATAAAAGCATTGCTATGAACAGTGAAACCTCGACTCTAAAACTGATGGGGATTCTTGCCAATGGCTGAGGTTTCATCTGCTAGCTACAGATAGAAGAGCAGTTTAATCCAGGCCAACTGGCTGTGCTGCTTTAAGCCCTGGAACTGCTGTAACTGCATTCTGAACTGGGCAATTGTGTGGTCTGTGTAGTGTGTAGGCACAAGTTACAACTTCAGTTCTTTATCCTCAAGTGTCACAGATGGTCCCTATAATGCAGAGTTGTATTACTGTATCTCAAAGTGGAAGATTTGCCTTAGATAAAGCTTTGGGTTTTAACTCCCAAAATGGAGATTTCAGCATGAGGGACCAGCTGCAAAACATGCTTCTAAGTCCTATTTTCGGTCTTGTAAGAATTGGTTCTGATGTATTGAATAAATCAGTGTGTTCAGTTTTGTTACCCTTTTATTCTGAACTTGTTAAATATTGCACTTGTATAAATACAACAAACGCACAGGTTTTTTAACTGTAGTAATTCCTCATCTGGAATTGGTTTGGGATCACTCTTGCATACATTAAGCTTAGTATTTATAAATTTGTTTGCAAACTGGTAGTGCTGTCCACAAAGGCAAGGTGTCAAGGTACAAATAGCTTTTTATATACTTTTTTGGCCCTCTTGTGCATTACGGCAGCCATGGCTTTTACTTCATCTTGGTATCTGTAGGTTAAAGGAAGTGTCTGAAAGAAGTGTACTGTAGTTGTACTTTTAAATAAAGTAAATTTTATTGGTATGGTATTTGATGGCCAAAAAGTTTTCTGATTGAACTGAAATTTTTATAGGGGGTGGGTGAGAGAGAAAGGGGGACTGACAACCTGGTTTAGCCCAGAACAGTTGTCTGTTGCATGACTTTCCTAAGGTTTGTGGATCTTTCTCCTGCAAAAGGCTTTCCTCACATGTACTTGCAGACCCTTTTTTAGTATCACGCTATCTGCCAATAGGCTACGAAACAAAACTTCACCAAGAAAGCTGCCAGGGTTGTAAGGAGGCAGCTTATTCAAGTAAACAAACTGGTCAGGTATGTTACTCTGCCCAAGCTTGCTCCTGTTGGAGTACATTGGATTATCTTGCCTTTGTATTGCAATTTTTTCAAAAACATAGATGAACCTGATTGTCCATGTTTAATATGACTCACTAGGCAATGGATAAAAATTCATCTTGGTGGTGCAATATTTAAAAAAATTGTTTGTCTTGATATGAGTCTTAAACTTGGAAATTAATTTTATTTTACCAGTTGATTACCATTGTAAGATATGAAGTCCTGTTGTTTAACAAAGATGTGCCTACTTAAGTTTTTTTTAAATTTCTTTTGACAAAGCTGAATGGCAAAAAAATGCTTGTTTATAACTGTGTAACTTTTTAAACATTCAAAACTTTAAGTAAACATGAAGTACTGAACTATCTTGTTTGAAACTGTGTGCATGCTTTTAGTGTTATACGAGTTATACATTAAAAGACAAGGACAGTTCCATTTGTTTTAAAAACAATAATTATAATTTTTAGAATAAGCAGCAACATGACCAATGAACAAATTCCTAGCTAGGCAGCCTGGGCCACCAGCCACAGTAGCCTGGCTGACTGACCATTGTCCCTTTGCTCCTATAAACCCTCCCTCCTGCTGCAAAAAGGAATTTGAGATGGGAGGAACATGGAGTATTTAGTGTAAAAGCCCCTTTTTGCCCTGCTTGTGGTGACCTCTGAAGATCCAAGCCCACTGCCAGAGCAGGATCACCCAGAGAAGTTCACACGGGATCATGTCCGGGCAGGTTGTGAACATCTCCACAGGAGGAGACTCCAGCCTCTGGGCAGCCTGGTCCAGTGCTCTGGTACACGGACAGTAAAGAAGCTGCACTTCCTGTGTACCAGTGTGTGACCATTGCCCCGTGTCCTGTTGCTGAGCACAACCAAGAAGTCTGGTCCCATCCTCTGGACACCCACCCTTAAATATTTATCCCCCCTTGGTTTCCTCCACACTAAACAGACCGAGCTCTGTCAGCCTTTCCTCATATGGGAGGGGCTCATCATCTTAGTGGCTCTACACTGGACTCTCCAGTAGAACCAAAGAATGTGTTGGGTTAGAAGGGATCTTTAGAGGTCATCTAGTCCAACCCCCTTGGCCTTGAACTGGGGAGCCCAAAACTGGACACAGCACTCCAGATGTGGCCTCACCATGTCACCCTCATTCGCTTATCTCCAATCTCCCACTTCGCTCTTTTCATATACCGTGGATGGTTCTTTCGTCCAGGCATATCCCCGGGAACTTGGGTGCAATACAAACCGCGTAGCCTGCCTTATATTCTCCTTTTAGGACCCGCTCC